AAGAAACTTGGCATGGAGAGATCCTAACCCCAAAGACTCGATCTACTGGTAAAATTTATTAAAAACGATGGATCCCCACTCCCTTCGGCCTCCGGCCTCCGTCAATATGCCGGAGGAGGAGAGAGGGGGACTAGTGGTGGTGGAGACGAGGGCGGCAGTGGCGGCGCTGAGTTGCGAGACCCTAGCGGCGGCTACGCGTCTCGTGTGTGTCTACTATCAGATCCGTGTTGGAATGTCCCGATTTTTCCTTTTGGACGTATGTAGACACCACTCGTGGTTTCTATGTTGGGAGTGCCCTAAACCCTGATTATAATCAAGAGTAATATCTCCTAGATATTTCCATTCATGCAAAGAGCACACAAATCAAAATGGGGATCTATATATCCTTGTCTTTTACCCCACGCGCAAACTCATCGCATATGCTACAACTCTTGATGCACGAATGCATGCAATCCTGAGGGATTTCAAATCTCGGGTTCTTGCGGCATGCATTTATCTTCCTTGAAGTACCAAAATGAAGTGTGTGTGCCTTAAAATTTGACATATCTCAAGATTCATGCGTTCATATATATTCACACACAAAAATGAGGTTTTTCCTTTTTCCTAGCCTCTATGGTAATATGTTTAATAGCATCATTTCATACTTCCTCATTCTAGTAGCATGAACAATACGTAGAAAATATGAAAACAAACTTTACATATGACGCAGCTGTCATCAAACGTGGAAATGGTTATAATTATTGATATTGATAGACTGCCAAAACCATTAATGTTATAGCTATAGAACAGAAATATTATTTTAACACAACAGGATCTGAAATGATACGCTAAATTAATTCCGCGTGGAAATATTCTATTTAAGCCCCTGCAAACTCTTTTCTTGTTGCTGGCCCGTTCCTGTATATATAGAGGTAGACATATCGAACTGGAAAATTCGGATCGATCGAACGAAGATCACATTGCATTGAGGCACCTTAGCTACTTGTACACGCACAACTCTTTAGTTTGTCATGGGAGCCAAGGCGCTCTTGTGTGCTTTCTTCTTCCTTCTGCCGTCGGCAGCGGTGGCGGGGAGACCGAGACCAACCCTGCAGAATGGCCTTGGCCGAACACCACAAATGGGGTAATGGATTATCTCCCTCATCCTCAGTTATATAAGGTTTTGCTTTTCTAGCTATATACACGATTTTATTATGCAATTAGATATATACTATATCTAGAGATGGTACGACGGCACACAACACTATCGCCGTCAGGCCCTTTGCTTGCTCTTGCTCGCCTCTCTATCGCCAGACAGAGGTCCATATGACCGTGGGGACAGCTACACTAGGGCCTCTTTCCTCTCTCCACGGGCGTTCTTCTGTGGAGAGATGACACGATCGATGACAACAATCCAAATCTCGTGGTCCAAGGCTAGATCTGTGGGCTCTATGGTCAGATTTGCTAGATCTATAGCTGAATCTAGCGTCTACGTGGGTAGATGAGTCACGTGGAAGCTAAGTGGTGTCAATGCGGTTGTTTGCTAGTAGAGAGCAAAAAGGGCATCATGGAGGTTAGATCTTGGCTTCCGACATCCCTATGTCCAGATCTGGTGTGTTAGGCCACGGCCTTCGAACATCGGTTGCCGCTCAAGCGAAATCAAGCACAAGAAGTGGATAAAACAAGACTTGAGAAAAATAAGATGAACGATTTCATTGAACTTGTTTCTCCCTACCTTACATTCCATCAATGGGGGCAATTTATACGTGCCCGTGGGCTTTTCGTAGGACGTAAATACCCTTTCAACTACTACAAATTCGGGGAATATTCTCCACGGCTTTGGGTTTGTTCGTCATTCGGAGTACCGCCTTCCTTCGGTAACGCCGAACCCGGATGGGCCCGACCAGCTTCGCCTCATGTCGCCTGTCCAACCGACTGGGTGGGGGCCCAGTGACAGAAGTTGTCGGGCATGCAAAGACGGGCGGCCCCTCCTTTGGAGAAACCTACGAAAACTATCAACCAAACCTGTTAACAGCTATTCGCCCGAGCGAATAGCCAAGACCAACCGCATGCCCTCCTTTGGCGAAATCTGTAGAAACGATCGAGCGAACTGTTAATAGCTATTCGCCAGAGCAAATAACCAAGACTATCAGCGGGCCTGTTGCTAGGGTGAAAGGAAAAGAACCAGGTACGACCTGGTACCGGCCGTAGAGTCCCTCCTTTCGCCATGGCGAAAAGGGGATCCTAAGAATGGGACGGCAAGTGGCGCCTTCATTTCACTGAGGCGAGAAGGGGGCCCGACTCATCCTTCTCTTCTCACACGGCCAGCCCTCTCGCTTCTCATTATAGCGGTATGCTGAGTGCGCCAGATTCTAACTCCCGTTATTTCGCTCTTGCAAGGAACCAGGACGGCGATTGAGCCACACAGGGTGCCCATAGGCGGGGCACGCCCCCAACATGGTGCTATCTAGGCTAGTTGTGCGCTTGGGGTTGCTTAGTTACGGAGTAATCCTTATGCGCGGGGGGGGGGGTACGGACGAATTTGAAGGCATGGTCCACATTCAAGCCAGCAACAAGCAGATGATGACAACACATGGTACGATGGTGAGGTTCTATATATGCCATAGCTCGAGGGTGGCTCTGCCATAGCCTAAGTAAGGTGGAACTTCCGATGTTAATTTTACTGGCGGACATATCATAGTCCAAGAGTGGCTATGCCATGGCCTCAAGCACTACGCCAATAGGTATTTGTAGAGCCGGCTCACGTGCATTTGTATTCGCGATTTTGCCAGTCGTCCCTAAGCAACTGTGGCTACAAATGCCTGGTTTGTAGGGGCGGTTGGCTAGTCGATTTGTAGGGGCGACTAATGATTTCAGAAATCATGAAAAAAATTACCAAAAAATAGCAATTTTTTTAATCCGGGGAGGCCCCCACTAGTCAGCCACACACCCGCTCTCTAGCCGTGGCATTTTTTACGTGATTTTTTTTGAGACTTCACGCGCACCCACCTCTAACACTGCACCTCACACTCACTTGTGTCTATAATCCATTTTGGTTCTCTACGTATTATACTAAACTGACAATAAATTTATTGTTTGAGGCCCTAAAAGAATTTTCATATGAAAAATTTGTCAACTAAAAAGTTTTATAACTTTTTAAGATCTACAACTTTCATTTTTCTAGTTTCTCTATCATAGGTCGTTTACAAAATTTGAATTTTAAATTTAAGAAATTCAAACATAGTTTTTTATGACAAGATGATTTTAAATCAAAAAGTTGTCAACTACAAAGTTTCATAACTTTTCAAAATCTACAACTTTTGTTTTTGCTGTTTGTCCATCCGAGGTCATTTATAAAATTCAAATTTTAATTTTTTGAAAATTCAAACATAGTTTTCCTTGACGAGATGAACTCAAATGAAAAGTTGTGAACTACAAAGTTTTATAACTTTTCGAGATCTACAATTTTTATTTTGGTAGTTTCTCCATCCGACATCGTTTGACAAATTTGAAATTCAAACATAGTATTCCTTGATAAAATGAATTCAAATAAAAAAGTTGTCAACTACAAAGTTCTATAACTTTTCGGGATCTACAACTTTTATTTTGGTCATTTGATTATCCGACATAGTGATAGTAATATTGTTTATAAATTTTACATATCCCTCTTATAGTTTATGAAACTATGAGAGATACGTAAATTTTGTGAACAATGTTACCTCCACTTTGTCGGATGAAGAAATAAACAAAATAAAAGTTATAGATCTTGTTGAGTTCTACAACTTTTATGTTCATAATTTTTTCAGCTGAAATCATTTAATGTTTCAAAACAATGTTTGAAGTTGTCATTTTTTTAAATTCAAAATTGAAGTAGATAAAACACAGTCACATGAAAAGATGGATAAAATAATAGCTGTAAGAACACAATAAATTGACAGAGCATGATTTTAGAAAAAATTAGAAAAAAAATTATCAAATTTGAAGTTAGTATGAGGGAAAAAGACTAGTTACAAGTTTTGGCCAGAGATTAAAAAGAGAAATCAGTGTTTTTCAATAATTTTAAAATTGAATTTCAAACGGCATTTTGAAGCAGTAAATGATTTCAAATGAAAAAGTTATAAACAACAAAGTTTCATAACTTTTTAAGATCTACAACTTTTATTTTGGTCATTTCTCCATCCGAGATCTTTAAAAAAATTCAAATTTTAATGCTTAATTTTTACTATTCGACGTCTGTTTATAGGTGCGGCTCAACGCTGATAACACCAGCAGCCCCTACAAATGGATTTATAGGGGCGGCTCGTTTGAGCACTATTTGTAGTGGCGGCTCAATATAGAGCCACCCCTATAAAAAAAAGAGGGCGTTGTTACAAATCTTTTTTTTGTAGTAGTGAAGTTTTGGTGCAAAACTCTCAATATGTTATTGGCGTAAAGGTGTTAGTGAAAGCCTTGCTGGTCTCGAGGATGGCGGCGCCTTTAAACGTCATTCTCCTTCTTGGAGGTATTGTCATGGCACTTCACAATCCTCTTATCCACCGATCTTCAAGTGATAACCTTGGTTGTCTAGGCGTGCAGCGTCGACGACTCTCGTTGTCCCCCTAGAGGTGTCGCCTTGGAGATCCATCTTTAGTTCTTCATGAAACGTCAATTGGTGGGTTCATAGAAGATAAGCAACCCCAACCCCTTAGCTGCCGGCATCGAAATTATGCAAGATACATTGCATGCTGTCTTAACTAGAGGAATGCAGACTCTAGATGCAAGTCATGTTGTTGGAATTGGTCAACAAGTTGAATGGTAAAGTCAGATTAGGATATATAGAAACTTGAGTCTAGTTCTTTTGTTTCATGTCTTAATTAACTTTGTATCACAGTATGGTAAAGTATTGTTATATGGCTATACTCATTAATTTGTGAATGTTGGGTGGAATGTTGTATTCCTTAATCTATATATAAAAAGCCAAAATGGCATATAATTTAGAACGAAGCAAGTACTACTAATTTCCTGTTTTTTCTTCTTTCCCCATGGAGTTGCATGTGACCACAGTGACCAAGCCTATTTCTTTTGTAGTGCAGTTGCAAAATGTAAGGTGGTGCATCTCTTAACTGACTGTACGACAATTTCAGGTGGAATAGTTGGAATCACTTCGCCTGCAACATAAACGAACAGACAATTCGACAAATCGGTAAGGTTACACTGCCGTCTCACAATCAGTTCCAGTTGCGCCACAAAATGCAACAAATTGAAAAGGAAAGTTTTGTTTGTGTAGCTGATGCGATGGTAGATACCGGCCTTGCAAAGCTTGGTTATGAGTATATCAACATAGGTATCTCTCGAGTTTTCTTGCCCTGTCCTTTCCTCCTCCATTCTTTTAATTTGCTTGTTGCTCAGTCGAGAATTGAGACAAACAGGATCTGAACATTTTTTATACTGCAGATGATTGTTGGGCAGCCTATAACAGGGACTCCCAGGTGTGTATTATTTATATAGAATTGCACATGTTGAGAGAGAGAGAGAGAGAGAGAGAGAGAAATTCTCGACAAGGTTAACAGGACAGTGTTGAAAGGAATATAAAGACTGCTCGATCAGCAAAACTGATATTTTTTTCCTTTTATTACAGGGTAATCTAGAACCAAAGCCATCAACATTCCCCTCTGGAATGAAGGCCCTCTCGGACTATGTGCATGGAAAAGGGCTCAAGCTTGGAATCTATAGTGATGCAGGGTATGTACAGTTGACAAAAGAAAAACAACAAAGTCACAAAAAAACACGTTTAGGAAAATGTGGCTGGCAGAAGCAGAAATTCAATGAAAAATTCAATGGATTATGTTTAAGCTGTTGTTTTCTCTCTCAAATCACACCAACCGTTCTCCTTTCAGTTCGCGAACTTGCAGCCAACAGATGCCGGGCTCACTTGGACATGAAGAGCAAGATGCAAAAACTTTCGCATCTTGGGTAACTTTTGTGTCTTTTGAATTAGAACTTTTAGACGTGTGTCAATAATTATGCCTTTCTTTCTGGCTTCAATTGATTTTTCCTGTATTTTTTTGTTAAAATTCATAGGGAATTGATTACTTGAAGTATGACAACTGCAACTACCAGGGATTAAGCCCACAATCAAGGTGCTCATACACTAACTAGATTTTAAATCTTTTCACGCTATTTCGAGAGACTGAAACCTTCCTTGCGACAAAATCCAGATATATCACCATGAGCAGGGCGCTTCTGAATTCTGGGAGGAATATTTTCTTCTCCATCTGTGAATGGTAACCGTTGCTCTTTTCTTTTCAACCATGATCGAATTTCGTGTTTTGAACTTTGAATTCAGTTTTTTCTTTCAACTTCGTTATGCAGGGGTGTAGGTAACCCAGCAACATGGGCAAGCGGTTTAGGAAACAGTTGGAGAACAGCCGGTGACATCAAGGACAATTGGGGAAGGTGAGCAACTGATGTGCACATATGCTAACAAAACATGCCTGTTTTAGGTGGAGTTTGCAAGGAACTTTTAGCCACTTATCTGACACGTTAGGCAGGCTAGATTTAGCATTTGGCAACCTGAACAAGCCGTCGAGCCCTACAGAACATTGTTTCCTTGTCAATGTCTGATGCATGAATCTTGTTTTGCTGCAATGTTTCAGCATGACAAGCAACGCCGACAGTAATGACTATTGGGCAAAATATGCTGGGCCTGGTGGATGGAATGGTTAGTCTAGTCCTTTAGGCCTGCAGAAAATTTGAGCGTGGATGGTTTCTCTTAATTGCTGAACCGCCTGAAATTACATCCTGTTTTCATTCAGACCCAGACATGCTGGAAGTCGGGAACGGGGGAATGACAACGGAGGAATACCGCTCCCATTTCAGCATATGGGCTCTAGCCAAAGTAATAGGAAGCATTCAGCAACAGTGTAAATTTTCTTCATCTGCATTTAGCTAGCAAGGCCATGGTGCCTGAGCTGACTTGATGATGCAGGCACCTCTCTTGACTGGCTGCGACATCGGCTCTATGAGCAAGGATACCAAGGATATCCTCAGCAATCAAAATGTCATTGCAGTCAATCAAGGTTAATAAAAACACAGTGACCATTCCTCCATTTTTCCAAACTAACAATTAGAGATGATAACTGGGTAAAATAAAATGATTCATGGCCAGATGAGCTTGGGGTGCAAGGGCACAAAGTGCAAAAAAATGGAGACCAAGAAGTAAGTGCTGGAAAATCAGAACCTATGCTTGGCTTGGCACAATGCTTTGAGTAGTTTCTAAACCATGATCTTCTCATTAGGTCTGGGCTGGTCCATTAAGTGGAGGGAGAGTTGCAGTTGTTCTATGGAATAGAGGGCCTACTCAAGCATCCATCACTGCCAGCTGGAGCAGCATTGGTCTTAGCACTTCCGCTGCCGTCAACGCTCATGATCTGTGGACAGTAAGCATATGCATATTCTTTTTTTGTTTCCCCTTGATCATAGACAAGTCTACCATAGCATATATATTTTCTCGAAGTTGCAAATAAACTGTGATTCTTCTCAACTTTCTTATGTGTGTCTGATTTTATTATGTTTTTAGGGTGAGGTTACATCATCTGTGCAAGGAGAGCTGAAGGCGACAGTGGAAACCCATGCTTGCGAGATGTATGTGTTGACCCCCAAATAGACTCGGGTTATTCTCACCGTTGTCTGTACTCGTCAAACTTATAAAAAATCAACAAAACAAAAAATTCCGGAGAACTGGTGCAGGCGACCAGAGGAAAGTGAATATGAGCCTGAAATGTTTCTATTTTCAAGAATGAACTGCCTATATCCCGAGACAACGCACAAAACTCTCACGCAACACTAGCAAGATTAGCTGCGATAGCCAGGATCTCGTAGTAACAGTGGACCTATGTACCCTAGAAACTAGGCTAAAGAGATGCAAAAGCGAACGAAGTTGAAAATGGCGAATTTGAACACGTCCAGCAGAAATCAGCTTAGCCTAAATCCAAAACCGATTTAGGCTTATTTCGCAGATTTCAGCCTTCCACACTCAGAAAGAAAAATGTCAAAATTCAATCAAATGACCTCTTAAATTTGTGAAATTTGTGGAGGGGTTTATAATATCATAGAGAATGTCTCCGCAAAAAATCACATCAATTGGAGCAAGTCCGAAAAACTTTTTTTTGACCGAAGTTAGCAGGGAAAACCCCAACCTATTCTTTTTAATTTTCTTTTATTCCAGACCTTTTTAATTCGCTCTCACGTGGAGTCGAACCCAGGCCTGCTGGATGCTACTGAAGTGCTCTAACCACTAGGCTAGAGGCCCTTTCGCCAAGTCTGAAAAACTGGCTGAGCTGGTTTTGGAAACCGGCTTGAGCTGGTTTTTCTGTTTTCAATCAGCTTCACTCTAAGAAAAATCCGAAATCAATTCAAATGAGCTAAAAAATAACAAAATCTTACACACATCTTTATCAACCCATTTTGAATCTACCCCCAATAGATCTTGCCTAAAAGATCAAAGTTTGGTTAGGAATTTTGAAATCACTCTCTCAAATTAGGGTTTTGAAAGAATCATCAAAATGATGATTTTTAGGTGCTCCTAGAAAATATCTATTGAGGGTGGTGTCTATGTATATTCCAAATGCCTAATAGCACCTAAACACAAATCAAGAACATCACAAAAACTGCAGCACAAAGATCTTCAAGAAATTCACCAAAAGAAACTAGGAATGAGCGTTTAGGAGAGAGGAACTAAAGAGATGAGAGCTGAGCTTCAAGCCATGATTTGGCCAAGTTCCAAGGACCCCAAAACCAATCAAAATAACTTAGGAAATCAGACCACACATAGATCCAAAAATCACCAAAGAAAAGTGACAAAAATTCACAAAAAGAACAAAAATTACGGATTTAGGAGACGAGAGAGGTGAATTCACATGAATTTATTATATATTAAACAACCATGAATTCACCTATACATCATATTAGCCTAACTCCCAACATCCTCCCACTCATGTGGAGAAAAGACTAAGAGATGCCTATCTCTCTCTAGCCTATCTCTTGCTTAGCACTTTAGCCCTTGGCTAACCAGTACATGAAAGAAGTGGAAGGGGTGGTTGTCTTGAGCATCCACTTCTTTTATTTACAAGGCTATTACACATTCTATGATTGCCCCTACATTTATACATGAATGACCCGGCCATCGGGGGTTCAAAGCATCGGACAACCATGGGTCCTTCATAAAGTCGCTTCACCTCGACACAAGCTCTCCGATAATGCCACATGCCACCCTGAGATCCTCCTCGTTTTTTAGGCCCAAACCCAGAAACTACTTTGCCTGTGGTTTTGAGTCCAAAACCGCCAAGCTCTCCTAGGTCTCGTAGTCAGTACATAACCCCTCAGATGTCGACGTGTGTCCTCCATGTCCTCGGCCCGATGGTGCACCAAGGGCTCACGACGCCTTGTCTTGACTTGGTCCAGCCCTGACCTTGACTTTGGTCAACACCATCTTCATCACCATCTCTATGTGCTCTTGCTCATCATTGTGTCATGTGCTAGCCATACTTGGTCCATCCTATGGCCTCCTAGTGAGGAGAATGAAGTCGCCTCGTCAATGGTAGGTACTCAATTCTCAATTGTAGTCAAGTGCAAGGCTTCAAAGATGGTTGCAAAATCTAATAATCGTAGAGGCGAAGCTGCTAGTTGTTGGAAAAAGGAAGACGTGGTGGGACCGACTGCACTATACCAAAGAGCAGGTGGAGCTCAAAGGCGGTACAAACTTATGGCATGGAGAGCCATAGGAGAAGGTGGTGTGGTTAACCAAACTACATAATGAAGGGGCTCTTAGGTGAAAGGTCTGGGCACTCCATCTTGGACATTGACACACAGATTGTGGTGATTGTGGACATTGGCAATCTCAAGGTGGGAGTATAAAAATAAGGAGTCAACTTGGAGAGAATTCTTAGAGGAGCACGATGACTTCAAAGGATTAGAGTCAATATGGAGATTATTGTATGGTGACTTAAACCTTGTTGAATCATCTAGGGGCCCTTGTTTGGGTTTTTGTAATTAATGACAACACTTGTGGACTAACGTTTCTATCTGAGTGTGTGAAGGGAAGTTGGTTTAGTTCACAAGATGAGATGGCATTGTCATGCACTTGATTGATGGCATGTTGGAAAACCCAAATCAAGCATAGCAAGAAGGTGAAGACCAAAGCAAGGCTTGGCTAGGATGAACAGTGTGTAATGCAATGGTGAAGGGCGAGCTAGAGACTCAGGACACGATGGACCGTTGAGGCGGTGAAGCGCGAGTAGAGATGGCTTGGCACCGATGGACTGAGGCATTGGTGAAGGGCAAGCTAGAGGCTCAAGACACGATGTACCATCAAGGCGGTGAAGTGTGAGTGGAGAGCTTGGCAATGATGGACCAAGGCAACGGAGAAGAGCAAGTGAGGCTAAGGTCGATAGACTTGAAGTCTATGTGTGGTTTGAGTGATCCACATCACTTATGAAGATCAAGCCAAAGATACATTGATCGTATCAGGTGGCTTGGTGAATATGTCGGACAATGTTTTTCCTTGCGGGCATCAATTTGAGAGAAATTGGATAAGCACAAGGCAAAGGTATGAAACATAGGATGTTTCATTTTGCCAGCCATGAAGATTCAAATGGTTTGGTTTATGATAGATAGCCATAGTATCACTACTATAGGGCAGGGATATAGTAACACCAAATTGTGTTACTATAGGCTCAAGAAAGTGTTACTAGCCTTAATAACATGTTTTTTATGTGTTCCAATTGGCCGTGTTACTGCATCAATTTGAGAGAAATTGGATAAGCACAAGGCAAAGGTATGAAACATAGGATGTTTCATTTTGCCAGCCATGAAGATTCAAATGGTTTGGTTTATGATAGATAGCCATAGTATCACTACTATAGGGCAGGGATATAGTAACACCAAATTGTGTTACTATAGGCTCAAGAAAGTGTTACTAGCCTTAGTAACATGTTTTTTTATGTGTTCCAATTGGCCGTGTTACTATAGAGCCATCTATTGGGACACATTTATTTATCTACTGAAACATTTGTCTAGTGTTACCATGATTATACGTTGTAACACTTTTTTTTAGCTCTAGTAACACTTCCATATTATGGTAGAGTATATAGTTTGTAACACTTTTTTGAGCTCCAGTAACACTTTGTCTAGTGTTACAATGAATAGAACCAATTTCCACGTAGTTTATTCCATTGCAATATATATGATTTCTTGCCACGAAAACCATTTTGTGGCTACAGCCGCAATTGCCATGCAAAATACTTTATTGCAATAGGTTCTATTGCTACAAAAGTTGTGTTGTGGCAAGAAATATTATCGCAACGAAATATTACAGTTGTAACCAAATCTCATAGCATCACTCAATGTACACGGAAATAAGATAACACAACGCAAGAGCATTGTAGCAATAGATTATGATAATGAATTATAAATTTTGCATTTGGATTTATTGCAACAAGAAGATATTTTGGCAACACCTACTGCATTCTATATCTGGTTAATAAAACATTTTTCGCAAAAGAATTATACCAAAATAGTAATTCATAATCACATATGCCAAACTAAACCATTATCGTCTAAAATAGTATTTGCAATCATAATGTAAAGTGACTAAGTAATACTACAAGGCTTTTATTTGTATCTCTAAACTAGAACTATGAAGTTTGTAACTATCATTGTGATGACAAAAGTAATCTATCTTATGTAGCCTTTGGGAATTGCTTGTTTGACATTGTAAATTGCTTAACTTGACCACGCCATGATTCTATGGCTCCACTCAAACTCTATGTCTTCCTGCTCTAGAAAAAAAAAACACAATGACACATGCATCAGTAAATTTCAGCAGTATGTTACTAAGGCGTAGCCAACACTAAGTCTCTAGGATATAACAATAGTTTAGCAACACTCCTTAGTTGACGTGTAGAAATTTAATTCATTGACCCGTTAACATTGTTGTTTTGGAAAATACTTTGGTTGACATTAGAAGTTAAGTTAACGACGAGGAATTGTATTTGAGCACATAAGGAAATTTTAGAAACAAGTACACATGGGTATGAGTTGTATTAGTAAGATGGTAATGTATTTGAGACTTCCTAATTGTGCAATCACAAAATGAAAGTGAAAAAGAAAGGCATGGCACAAACGAAATACCATGAAATCTGATATAGAATGTTGTGAGTTAAAGATGCCTTGCATTTCCTATTTGCGCACAAATTGATGCACTGCATTAGAAACTTAGCAGCAGTTACTATCATATAATAGAAAAATGGAAGGAGGTCATCATCAATGGTTGCTTTTAACAGGGAACAAATTAAAACTGTTAAACAGAAGAAAGAAAAAGATAACAGAGAAGAAAGCAAACAATTAAGTAGTAGCTTAAATGGAAGAAAAGCAATCCAAGATGTGTCATTAGCCCCTTTTTTGAACCTGTAAAAGAAAGCATAATTGCTTGAAACGAACTAACACATGAAGATGTCACATGGTAAATATATCCAAAATGTTTGTTAGAAAAACTTTTTTGAAAAGAACAACAGCAGGGGAGCCCCCCGCTGTTAGGAATTTTTATTAAACCAAAAAGAACCAACTGTACAAAAAAAACAGAACAAAAAAACAGCAGCTAAGAAGGAA